CATGAGTAACATTTATGTAACAACGAGTAATATTTAAGTAACATTCGAGTGCCTACCTGAAGTCTACGTGAAGGGAGTTCATGGGCTCAACGCCCCCGAGGCCCGGTACATGACCAGGCTTCACCGTGGATCAAGGCCTGATCAACCATACTGTTACTGCTGACCACACGCAATCCAACGTACGAGCCACAGCCCAGCTGGTTAAATACTGATTTTAGGTATTCGTCCAGTTCCCAAGACAGCCAGGGGTCTATTGGTACTCCCCCCTTACGTACGATGGGAGGCAATGGAACAACCTTGGGCCCCTGACACTTATTGTGTTTTCTCCCAGCGTACTTACGGCGCCCCTGCTTTTCATTGGGGGGGGGGGATATGTTTCACCGTCTTTCGTGTCCTTTGCATTCATAGGGAGTGATTTATGTGTGCAGATTTGGGACCAGTCTCTCAAGAATATTCCAGGTGTGAGATACCTCTGCTGAAAAGCAGGGATCTCTTCAACACCTTTCTTTCACACCCATACCTGGAGGTTATTCCGGGGATCAACGCCCCCGCGGCCCGGTCCATGACCAGGCCTCCCATATCTGTTTATAAGAGGGAACTACTCAACAGGTTCTTCAGATCAGTTCCTAATCAGCCGGGTTGTGGTGTATAAATTGGGCTAGAGGCGACAAGCACCAAGAATCTGACCGACTAAGCCAGTAACCAGGAGACCTGGTCTGGGACCGGGACGCAGGGACGATAACCTCCGGAAGCACGTCACATACTTATCGCAGGTGTATCACACGGGTGTGCCATAACTCAGCAACATAGATGTGTCACACATGTACCAGACAGATAGGTATGCCACACAGGTGTGTTACATAAGTGTACCCTGTAGGGAAAATTTACTGGGCATCATGACAGTAAATATACCCAATCATCGCAGCATATAATACCCCTCATCATGGGAATAAATATATCCCAATCATAATAGTAAATATATCCCCTCATCATGGCAGTAAATATACTCACATAATGGGAGTAAATATACTCACATCATGGTAGTTAATATACCCCATATATGGCAGCGAATATACTCCATCATAAGAGTAAATATACCCCTATCATGGCACTAAATATACTGACAATGGGAGTAAATACCGTAATAGTGGACACTGCAGTGATGAAACTAACTATGGAAGGAAAGAGGGTAAAGCGGAAAGAAGAAAGGAAGGAGAGGAAAGAAAAAGAGGAAAGAAGTTAATAAAAACAGTAATCAATGTTTCTCACGACCTTCCTCCCCAGACCACTTCTCCCGAGACCACTTCTTCCCACAACACTTCTCCTCAGGCCACTTCTGAGACTACTACTCTTCAGACTACTACTTTCCAGACTACTTCTCCCGAGACTACTCCCCAGACAAAGATGTTTATATAGCAACAGAACTTTCCCCTCACTCTTTCCTTTACCAATCCTCCGCTTGGTGTAAGGGAAGAAGGAACGACGGGGAGTGAGTGAGGGACGTAGGGGGTTAGGGAGAGAAGTATCATTGTCTTCAAGCACTGACCCCCCCCTCTGTCTTCAAGCTCTGACCCCCCCCCCCTCTACCCTCGAGCCATTGTTGTTGAGGGAAGGACAATCCCCTCATCACTCACCCCCACTACCCTCCCATCCTCTCTTACAAACTCACTCCCTCTCGATCCCCCCCCTTATCTCTCAAGGTTGGGGGTATTCCAGGCGTCGTCGCTCCCCGCGGCGCGGTCCATGACGTGGCCTCCCAGTTGATCAGGGCCTGGTTAACTCAGGCTGTTACTGCTGGTCGCATGCAATCCATCATGTGAGCCACAGACCAGCTGATCAAGCGCTGACTTTAGGTACATGTAAAACCATCTGGGCTGTGGTTCGTCCGTTGGATTTCGTGCGTCCAGCAGTATCACCCTGGTTGATCAGGCTCTGATCCACCGCGAGGCCTGCTCAAGGACTGGGCCGCTGGGGCGTTGACCCCCTGAACACCCTCCAGGTAGGTAGTAGTTCTAGGTAGCAGGTAGTTCCAGGTAGCAGGTAGTTCCCTCTTGAAGACAGCCAGGGGTCTATTGTTAATTTCCGTTATGTATGACGGGAGGTTGTTGAAGAGTCTTTGGCCCTTGACACTTATTGTGCTATCTCTTAGCGTAATCACGGCACCCCTACTTTTCAATGGGGGATGTTGCGCCGCCTGCTGAGTCCTTTGCCTGGCTTCCCTTGTTTTGAAGGTTCTCATTATCCATCTACCATTTTCCTCACAGATGTGATAATGATATTGTTATGATCTTTGAAAGAGAGATACTCTAACGTTATCACACTTAAGTCCTTCACATTAGTTTTCCGCTATACTGTGTGATTAGAATTTGTTATATACTCCAATCTAGCTTTTATTTCCTCAAGTTTTCCACAGCAGGGTAACCGAAATTTGTCCTCATTAAACTTCCTGTTGTTTTCTGTGGCCCAGAAAGAGAGAGATAGATAGATAGAGAGAGAGAGAGAGAGAGAGAGAGAGAGAGAGACCCCTAACATCACATTCATTTCCGTTGTAACAAAATACATTGAACACGTGTGTGTGCGTGTGTGTGTGTGTGTGTGTGTGTGTGTGTGGTGTGGTGTGTGTGTGTGTGTGTGATGCAAATATTTAATCACCCAATCACGTGGCAGCACCTCAGTGCCTAAAAGCATGCAGACATGATTAAGAAGTCCGGTTGTTGTTCAGACTGAACATCAGAATGGGGAAGAAATATAATATAAGTGACTTTGACCGTGGAATGATTGTGGTTTGAGTATCTCAGAAAGTGCTGATCTCTTGGAATTTTCACGCTCATCAGTCTCTAGAATTTACAAACAATGGTGTCAGAAAACAAAACATCTGGTGAGCGGCAGTTTTGTGGGCGAAAACGCCTTGTTAATGAGAGAGGTCTGAGAGAATGGCCAGACTGGTTCAAGCTGACAGGAAGGTAACAGTAGATCAAGTAACCACACGTTACAACAGTGGTATGCAGAAGAGCATCTCTGAATGGACAACACGTCGAACCCTGAAGTGCATGGGCTGCAGCAGCAGAAGACCACACAGGGTTCCACTTCTGCCACCAAACAACAAGAAACTGAGGCTACAGTGGGCTCTGGGTCACCAAAACTGGACAGTTGAAAACTGAAAGAAAAACGTCCTATTTTCTGATGAATCGCAATTCCTGTTATGACATGCAGATAGGGTCAGAATTTGGCGTAAACCTCTGGAATGTAGTGGAACGAGAAATTCGCAGCAAGAATGTGCAGCGTACAAATCTGCAGCAACTGGGTGATGCTGTCATGTCGTCACAGACCAGGATCTCTAAGGAATGTTTCCAGCACCTTGTCGAATCCATGACACGAAGAATTCAGGCTGTTTTGGGGGTAAAGGGAAGCCCTACCCAGTACTATAAAAGTGTACCTGATAAAGTGGCCAGTGAATGTGTATATATATATTTGGAAGATACTGCCTCCAGTTCTAAATGATGACCTTCAGCCTCATCTTCAGTGAATCTTTAAACAACACGTAACCCTCATGTCTGAAATCACCAAAATACTCTCCTCATTCAATATAAAAAACATGAGTGACATGAGAGAGCAACTCGTGAACGCTTGCTGTTGGATACCATGACGCTGCCAGCACTGTACACAACATTAACAGTATACCAAGATACACTTATTACAGTAACGTTATTCCTTCGGAAAGTGATGAGAGGTGATGGTGGGGAGGATGTAATGGTTGTGGTGTGGTCAAATGAAGCTTGGCGGCGTGTTTGTGATGCGGCTGTTAGACTGTAGTGTGTGTTATGGTAGTGTATGTGGTGTGCACTGTGGTGCTTAGTGTGGTGTGTGGCCTTTATTGTGGTATGTACTGTACTGTGGTGTGTGCCGTGGTGTGTAGTTTGTACAGTGATGTGTACTGTGGTGTGTAGTTTGTACAGTGATGTGTACTGTGGTGTGTAGTTTGTACAGTGATGTATACTGTGGTTTGTACTGAGTGTAGTGTGATGTGTGCCGCGGCATGTACTATCGTGTGTTCTGTGGTGTGCCGTGGTGTGTACTGTGGTATGTACCGTGGTGTGTACTGTAGTGGTGCCGTGGTGTGTATTGTGGCGTGTGCCGTGGCATGTACTATCGTGTGTTCTGTAGTGTGTACTGTACAGTGTGGTGTGTGTCGTGGTGTGTACTGTGACGGTGTGTGGGGTGTGCCGTGATGTGTGCTGGTATAGCGTGGTGGTGATACTTGATGTAGTGATATACTTGGTGTAGGGACATACCTGGTGTAGTGACACCTGGTACTGAAGATGAATCATGGGATTAGCAATGAGCTGCAGGAGACAGAAGAAGGAAAAAATGGGGGAAAGGACAGAAAGAAAGGGTGAGTTGTGGAGGAGGGCAGAGAGAGGAAAAGGAATGGGACAAGGAGGAGGTGGTGTGATAATAATTATGGAGATTTTGAAAGTAATGAGTAGACGACGGGAACAGACTAAACAGACTAGAACTGGGGAAGGAAGGGGTGTAGACTGGAGAGGGAGTAAGGGATGGAGGTTAAAGCTAGAAGAAGATAAGCAGACAGGGAAGATAAAGGAGGTAGGGAAAGTGAATAAAGTAACTGGAAAAGATAGAAGATGAAAGTGGGTAGGTAGATAAAGAGAGTGGATGAAGAAGGTATGTAGGTAGGTGTAGACTGAAGGTAGTCAGGTAGGGAAATAAAGGAAGGCAAACAGGGAGATGAAAGTAGGTAGGTAGGCAGTTAGGAAGAGGGAAGTAGAAGGCAGGCAGCTAGGTAGGGAAGTAGACGAGAGCAGGGAAAGGTGGAGGTAGATGTAGGTAGGCAGGTAGATACAAGTAGGCAGTTAGGGAGAGAGGTAGGTAGATGAAGGCAGGTAGGCAAATGAAAGTAGGCATGTAGGTAGGGAGGCAGGTAGGTAGATGAAGGTAGGTAGGTAGGCAAATAGGGTAGACCAAGTTAGACAGGTACTCACGTGTGTTGTCGTCGCGATGAAGCAGGTGTTTAGAACTGAGTAGTGACAGTGGATGGTTGGCAGGTCCCACCAGTGAACCCGTGAACCCGGACAGCAGACCTGTACGTAAAAAAGAGGCACCGATCAGTCATACTCAGTACATGGGAGCACCAGGGAAGTGCGTGAGGGGGACAGGGAAGTACATGAAATAGCATCAGGAAAACCTGGCTGAATGTGGTTTGGGAATATAAGGAAATACGTGGAGTACATGAGACAACAACAGCTACATTCTTGTACTCTGTAATTATGTTGAGAGAGAGAGAGAGAGAGAGAGAGAAAGAGAGAGAGAGAGAGAAAGAGAGAGAGAGAGAGAGGGGGGGGAGGGGGGTGAGACACAGTCAGAGCAAAAATACTCAAGATATCAAGACAAGAGGGGAGAGACAAGAACAGGCGAACATTGTGAAGTATTTGAAGAGGATGATGAGAGGAAAAGAGTAAGAGAGGAGGAGGAGGAGGAATAAGGTGGGAAGTGTCAACAATAAGTTAGAGAGGGACCCAGGAACATATAATTCCCCTGGGTCTGTAAATTATTATCACAATGCTATATACTCGAGGCTACACGAGGACTGCTGCTTCGGAGGACTTCACAGGGAGACACAATAGGCCTACTTGATTGCTTAAACATATGCGTTTCACTAGTTCCTGCTAGTTAATCCTCAGTCTTACCCATGAAAAGTGCCAGCCTAAAGCCAGCTTCGTAAGTAGACCTCTGGAAGTAAGTCACAAGTAGAAGTAACCAGGAAACAGTCCAAGTGGAAAGTATTGGAACTTACCTGATTCGCTAGTGGACAGAAAAGGACTAGCTTGACTCACTAGTGGACAGAGGATTAACCTGATTGACTGGTGGACAGAAGGCTAACCTGATTCACCAGAGGGCAGAGGACTGGCCTGATTCACCAGAGGGCAGAGGACAAGCCTGATTCACTAGTGGAGAGTAAAAGGACTAATAACCTTACCATGATTTTTCTCGACGGGTAGAAATACACTACTGGATGACTCTGATGAGGTTGGTAGAGAGGGCTGAGGAACTTGCTGCTGAGGAGGGTGGTAGAGAGGACTGAGGAACTTGCTGCTGAGGAGGGTGGTAGAGAGGACTGAGGAACTTGCTGCTGAGGGTGGTAGAAAGGGCTGAGGAACTTACTTGCTTCTGAATAGGGTGGTAGAGAGGGATGAGGAACTTGCTGCTGAGGAGGGTGGTAGAGCGGGCTGAGGAACTTACTTGCTACTGAGGAGGGTGGTAGAGAGGGCTGAGGGACTTACTTGCTGCTGAGGAGGGTGGTAGAGAAGGCTGAGGAACTTACTTGCTGCTGAGGAGGGTGGTAGAGAGGGCTGAGGAACTTGCTGATGAGGAGGGTGGTAGAGAGAGCTGAGGAACTTACTTGCTGCTGAGGAGGGTGGCAGAGAGGGCTGAGGAACTTGCTGCTGAGGAGGGTGGTAGAGAGGGCTGAGGAACTTTCTTGCTGCCGAGGAGGGTGGCAGAGAGGGCTGAGGAACTTACCTGCTGCTGAGACGGTTGGCAGAGAGGGCTGAGGAACTTGCTGCTGAGGAGGGTGGTAGAGAGGGCTGATGAACTTATTTGCTGCTGAGAAGGGTGGTAGAGAGGGCTGAGGGATTTACTTGCTGCTGAGGAGGGTGGCAGAGATGGCTGAAGAGCTTTCTTGCTGCTGAGGAAGGTGGTAGAGAGGGCTGAGGAACTTACTTGCTGCTGAGAAGGGTGGTAGAGAGGGCTGAGGAACTTACTTGCTGCTGAGAAGGGTGGTAGAGAGGGCTGAGGAACTTACTTGCTGCTGAGGAGGGTGGTAGAGAGGGCAGGCCGGGCAGGGCTGGGTGAGGTCCCAGGGGTATAGGTGGAGCATGACCAGCGTGGGGCAGGGCCGCCTGCTGCGCCTGCATCTGTTGCTGAAATGTAGAGAACCCAGCCTATGCCTCACTCAGTGGTTCTGAAGCTGTGTGGTGATAGTGTGGTGGTAGTGTAGTGTGGTGATAGTGTAATGTGGTGGTAGTGTAGTGTGGTGGTAATGTGGTGTGGTGGTAGTGTAGTGTGGTGGTAATGTAGTGTGGTGGCAGTGTAGTGTGGTGGTAGTGTAATTTGGTGGTAATGTGGTGTGGTGGTAATGTAGTGTGGTGGCAGTATGGTGTAGTGTGGTGTGGTCATAGTTTAATGTGGTGGTAGTGTAGTGTGGTGTGGTGCTAGTGTAGTGTGATGGTAGTGTAGTGCGGTGTGGTGGTAGTGTGATATGTTGGTAGTGTGATGTGGTAGTGTAGTGGTAGTGTGGTGGTAGTGTTGTGTGGTGGTAGGGTAGTGTGGTGTGGTGGTAATGTGGTGTGGTGGTAGTGTTATGTGGTGGTAGTGTTGTGTGGTGGTAGTGTTGTGTGGTGGTAGTCTAGTGTGGTATTAGTGTGCTGTGGTGGTAGGGTAGTGTGGTGTGGCAGTAGTGTAGTGTGGCGTGGTGGTAGTGTAGTATAGTGGTAGTGTGGTGTGATGGTAGTGTAGTGTGGTGGTAATGTGGTGTAGTGTGGTGGTAGTGTAGTGTAGAGGTAGTGTGGCGTGGTGGTAGGGTAGCGTGGTGTGGTGGCAGTGTAGTGTAGTGTGATGGTAGTGTGGTGTGGTGGTAGTGTAGCGTAGTGTGGTGGTAGTGTAGTGTGGTGGTAGGGTAGTGTGGTGGTAGTGTAATGTGATGTGGTGGTAGGGTAGTGTGGTGGTAGTGTAGTGTGGTGTGAGTGTAGTGTAGTGTGGTGGTAGTGTAGTGTGACGTGGTGGTAGTGAAGTGTGGTGGTAGGGTAGTGTGGTGTAGTGTAGTGTGGTGGTAGTGTAGTTTGATGTGGTGGTAGTGTAGTGTGGTGTGGTGGTAGGGTAGTGTGGTGGTAGTGTAGTGTGGTGGAAGTGCAGTGTGGTGTGGTGGTAGGGTAGTGTGGTGGTAGTGTAGTGTGGTGTGGTGGTAGGGTAGTGTGGTGGTAGGGTAGTGTGGTGGTAGTGTAGTGTGGTGTGGTGGTAGGGTAGTGTGGTGGTAGTGTAGTGTGTGTGGTGGTAGGGTAGTGTGGTGGTAGTGTAGTGTTGTGGTGGTAGGGTAGTGTGGTGGTAGTGTAGTGTGGTGTGGTAGGGTAGTGTGGTGGTAGTAGTCTAGTGGTAGTGTAGAGACAGTTTAGTGTGGTGGTAGTGTAGTGTATGGTGGTAGCGGTAGCGTGTTCTGGTGATAGTGTGGTGGTTTAATAGTGTGGTCAGTGATTTGGGTGAGTGTACCGCAGTGATAGTGTGGTGGTGGCATGTAGTGTGGTGTATTGGTTAGCGGTTGTGGTCGTGATAGTAGTGATGATAATGGTGGTGCTGATAATCTCACTGTAGTGGTGCGATGGTGAGGGTAGTGTTGTGGCGATGATGATGGCGGGTGATGGTGAAGGTGGTGGTGGTGGTGGTGATAATGTCGGAACCACAACCATCTGCCACAAATAACGAGGATAGTGCAGCACAACACCATCCAAGGAAAGATAGTGAGGGGGTTACAACGTAGTAGCGAGGATAGTGACGAGCAAGAAGTGAAAATAGCACACCATAACAGCTGTCAGTGTAGTGAGGAGAGTGAGACGGCCGAGTGATGACAACACACCAGTTGTGTTATAACACCAGTAATAAGTCAACGACGATAACACCATTACTGCCTTGTAGTAACGCCAGTTATAACACCATTACCACCTTGTAACAACACCATTGCCACTTTATAATAACACCAGTCATAATACCATTACCAACTTGTAATAAGAGCAGCAACAACGGCGAAATTGTCACATGAAGAGGAAGCAGCAGCCTCCACAAGGGATCAGCCTCTGGTACGGAGCTACACACTTTGTAACGCAAGTATAAGCGTCAAATCCTTTCAAGAAAAGTAATCCTGGACAGTGATCCAGGGTAGTGGTCATGAGCAGTGATCCAGGGCAGTGGTCCTGAGCAGTGATCCAGGGCAGTGGTCCAAAGCAGTGATCCAGGGCAGTGGCCCTGAGCAGTGATCCTGGTTGGTCTGGCACTCGGCGGAGGCACTGGTCCAGTAGTATTTCTAGTAGTATTTCCGGTATCTGCTGGTAGCAGGCTGAAGAGTCTTGAACAACGGATGTTGACACAGTGTTACATTATTGTGCCCACGGCGCCCCTGCTTTTCAATTGGTTTAGTGTGCATATTTGGAACCTGATCCTCTAATACCTGTTTATATAATAAGGTATACCTCTAATACCTGTGTATATAATAAGGTATACCTCTCTCTTCGCTCTATGGAGCACATTCCAAACTAGGCGGTGTATTTTGTATGTATATATTAGCCAAGATATCCCATGTCTATCTCTTTATGCATACATATGTTGAAAATTCATAATAAGTGAGTGTAATAAAGCAATAGAAAGATAGTTTCCAAGTCAGGATCTGGAGCTCCCAAGACAGGGGCGAAACCTAGTCACAACAAAAGCTTTTTTTATTTACTATTGTCGGCCGTATGTCGTTCGGATGATGAACTTTAAAGTTATAATGGCGTTGATTTACTTATTGCAACGTTGATCAGCGTTTAAATAACTGCCTGCATCATCCATGACCACGTCGACACGCCCACGCTATTTTATCCTTCAATGCCTACGCTCACGCCCAAAAGGCCACTGATACTGAGGTTTACTCAAAATTGTTACTAAATAGCCCGGCCTGCGCCCTCCCTCGCTCTCCAAGGATAAACTTTTTAACCTAAACCAGTCGAGGGTTTATAAACCGTGATGATGTACAACCCCCCACCTACTCCACCCCCAGTCCTCCCCTGGAAAACCCCACGCCAAGGGGGGAGGGGAAAAGGGAGAATCCACCCTACCTTCAAGGCATGGCTAGCCAGCACATAGCTGTGTATTGAGCCAGCCCACAACTGGGCCCACGCCCACACATGCCCCTGCTCCCACACTGCACAAGGCGCCCATGAATCAGAGTAATGGCAGTGTCAATACTCAACAACAGCAACAAGGCATTCTGGAGTGTAAATTTGCTGTGCACTTGTACCTCGGTGGCAGCCTCTTATTGTAACCTTAATAAGGTTATAGACACGCAATACTCTCATCAGGAGTGAAGTTCACCGTGTATGTATACTGCCTTCCACTCTCACTTCATTCATGCCCTAAGATTCTCACACACACACACACACACACACACACACACACACACACACACACACACACACACACACACACACACACATTCACCGCTGCAAGCTGGCACAACGAGAGCAAGCAACCCAGCACAGGGCAGAGTCGTCAGCGGAATTTTAAGCAGGGGCTTTAATGCTCAGACCACGAGATACCACACTCAGCAGCTGGTCCTCCTGCCTGACACCGGCACTCCCTGCAGTGCCAGGTGCCACACTCAGCAACTGCTCCTTCTGCCTCCCACTGCAGATGTAAGTGATTCGCCAGGAGCGTACTCCCAGCAATGGTCTTCTGGAAGTGGTGAGTCGTCTCTGGCTCCCGAGGGAGTGTCGTAGCCGGGTACAATGGGTCAACAGTCTCAATACTGCCTTGGGGTGCCATTTTAAGGAGCCTTACACTGGTACTCCCTACAGCGGTTGCCCTCTCCATGTGTTTACATTCCTAGCTGTGTGAGTCCTGTATAAGATAAGGTTACCTTCCCTTTACACTCACACTCCAGCCCTCTCCACTCACCCCTACCCCTAGCCTTCCCATGCATACTTGTTGTGTGTTTGAATCAATGTATATATATGCACTGATGGTATAATCACTGCCTCTTACACTATATCACCCCACTTTTACGTTAACACTAACGCAGAGTAGAACCACAGCACGGGTGAGGCTCGAACCTACAGCAGTCACTTGTGTCATTATGATTTCGCGAGTCAGAGTTGAAATATCCACTCCCATATATCACTACATATGTGCAGGTGGTACTATGTGTGAGGGTAAAGAGTGTAGATGTGTGTGTACAATCATATGCATTCATATACAATTTTTATTTCTTTACAAAGGTTACAATGTGTAACTGACGTTTTATAAAATGTTAAGTACAAAGTCAGTAACATACCTGAGCATTACGTACCATATAGAGCAGCACACTGCTGATGTATCCACAGCTCTTCCATTCAAAGACAGTGGCGCTGCGGAGAGTTATCTCGGTACAAAGCCAGTCTTATCAAGCCAGTCTCACTACATTCATGTCTTGAGAGTTTAGGTGGGGGAGGGGAAGGGATCGTCCTTTCTACCCTCCCTCCGTCACGCGCACTCATTGTGCACCACGCGCGTGCACTGCCAGTGTGCACCACGCGCGTGCACCGCCAGTGTGCACCACGTACACGCTTGCACACAGGCGAAGCACCTCTTAACTCAGCCAAGATGTAATGCACAAAGTTTTGTGCCCTGGAAACTTTATAACTCCGTCACCAGGACTAAACTACACCCAGAGCCAGGCAACCACCTCCACCATCTTCCATTTCTTCATTTTTCCCCTTGTTCCTCCTCTTCCCTTCTTTACTTCCTCCAACACCTCTTCCCCCTCCTTCTTCCCCTCTTCTACTTTTTTCAACTCCTCTTCCGCCTTTCACCTACTTTTCCACCTCTTTCTCTCACATTCCCTGCTTTCTTTCTCCTTATTCTCCTCTTCCCCGTGTCATTCTCCTCTTCTTTTACCGTTGTTTTTCACTGACGAAGTTACAAAAATCACCGCCCAGTTATAAAAAATAAAAAAATACACAAGTGTGCCTCAAACCGGTACATAACCGGAAGGTTACATAAAATTATGGAATACATAATGGAGACGTTTTAATATATGATCCAAAAAGGAAGTCTAAGTAGACATCTTTTTTTTTTTTCTTTTTTTAAATTTCATAACAAATTTTTTTTAATATTTTCTTTTAAAGTTTTTATTCCAATT